ATTACTCGACAGGGAAGATTTGCCTCAGACTTTGTAGGATTATTTCTTTCCAAAAACAAATTCTTTCACCAAGAGAAGAAAATCACCCCGCATGTGTCGTAATATCTTGTGATCTTGGGCCGTCTCTTTGCAGACAAGCAACTTGCAAACTTTACCAAACTTGCAAACTTTTCTAGACAGACATAGATCTTTGTGAACTGTTTCTATGGAAACAGGTGTAAGAAACTTAGAAAAAAATCAATTCCCTACATTTATTTACATATTTATTCTTCAACATTGAAGAAGATGTTGATGTATCACACCATTGTTTAGATTTTGCACTATTAATTCAAATAATCTTGTCTTTCTCTTTGGATACGGACATACATTTAATGATTTTGGATGCAGGAATTATGTTGTGATTTTTAAAAATGAAAAATAGAAAAAAGGAAAAAAGTCAGTGTTTATTGCAGAGCAACACTTTTACAGCTAAAGACTGCTCCTCGCCTTTGTTTGATCTGAAACTCCAGATAGCACAATGTAGGTTTTAAGGAGGACTTTAGTTTTCAGGCTAAACAGTAATTTTGATCATACTGACTCTGTAATGTCATCTGCTATGATACAGTGGAAAGAAATCATAATTGTACCAGAAGGACTATGTTCGTAATCCTCTAGGGAATCTTACTTTAGCAATTCTGTGCTGAGATTACGCCTATTTCAGACTTTGAAATTCATACTGCTTTTGACAGATCACACAAACATTTCCTGTACATAATTTTTTCCCGATCTTAAATCCTTCCCAGCGAAACTCAACAACACCCGTGATCTGTGTGGTTATTTGCAACGTGTCGGTCCTCCTCGATAAATACCTCTCTAATCCCTGACCTGAATTAATGGAGTCCCATCCTAATCCTCGCAGGGAATTAATATATTCTGCTCCTAATCCATTAGCTAAACACAAACAGGTCACTGAAGCTTAATCCCAAGGCTATAACCATCTTACATAGCCTGTATACGTTTGGGATGAAAGGATTAGGCCTCCTAAATCCTTAGTAATCCATCAGGGTATGTCAGAGGCAGGAAAAACATCGACCACACTACATGAAGGAAGTGAAATGGGTGACTAGTTCCATAGAATTGAACATTCAACAGAATTTGGGTGATTTTAAAACAGATCATCTCAGTGTATCCTTGTGTTGTGTGTTCATTGTGGATGAGTAATTAGTTAGTCTGTGAGTTTATTTGTATGCTGCGTAGCACCACACTCAGTAGTATACAAGCCTGGGGTCAGTAAGTAATTTGGTCAGGACCAGAGCATCTCTCTGACCTCTGTAGCTAAATTTGTAGACTATATTAGTTTAAAAACTGATTGATCCATATTAAACAAGTTGTCAAAAAGACCCATGAAAAACTTTCACAAATGTAGCAAATGCTTCAAACATTCACGTCCCCAATGCTGGGATCATCTTCAGAAACCTCAGCTGAGAAAAGTGGGATAGCCCAAAGGTTAAGGCATTCACGTCCCCAATGCTGGGATCATCTTCAGAAACCTCAGCTGAGAAAAGTGGGATAGCCCAATGGTTAATGCATTAACGTCCCCAAATGCTGGGATCATCTTCAGAAACCTCAGCTGAGAGAAGTGGGATAGCCCAATGGTTAATGCATTCACTCATCACACTGAGAGATGGGTTCTATTCCAACCAGGGAAAAACATGTGAAGCTCATTTCTGGTGTTATTGCTTGAATATTGCAAAGGTGATCTTTGAACATACTTGGACTTTATGTATCCATATTTAATTGTCTCAGAGAAGACATAAAAAAGATGACATAGCAATCTCATATTGACAAGGTTATGAAGAAAATTAGTTGTAACCATGGTAACACATCACAAACAAAGCTACTGTGTAAAAAACAAGTGTAACAACACAGCTTCAATAAACCCAAGTGCCACAGCAGGAAATCACTACCTTGATGATCCCCATATTCTATTGTAATACAAAGGGCATATTCGTCATCATTAATCACCAACACGTCATGGTATATATGGACACTACTTGAGGCATCTAAATAGAGGCATGATTTCTATTGTTTTATACCCATCGCTAATTAGAAGCTGACGTGTAAGTAACTTCCAGTGTTTAATACAGGAAATATGGTATGCTAACAGTATTATTGCTGGGGATATTTATGATAATAAATTATCTTAATCTGTGACAGAACATGTTGCATCAACCAGCAATAATACAGCTATTAATCACATCAAATCTTGACAACACCTTGAGATCACAGAGATTATATACTGAGGAGTTTGCCCTTCACTTCTAGCCTTTGTCCGTGTGGAGGAAATATATGCTAACTTTATACATCCCAATACACCTGGGGAAGGTGTGCAACACACATCATGAATCATCACAAACATCACGACACGTGTCGCCAATACGTCAATAACACCGATAATGTCAAAAGCTGAGTATAGAAATTATCTAAAGTGTGGAAAACAACACAGAAATGTTGATCATTACATGCCAATAAAAAGTTCAGGGTGCTGTTGTACAAAGTGATTTTACTAAGGTCACCATAACTCCCATACCTTAACATAGACTTAAGCTAGTCTTAGCGTTAAGGTTGTTTTGTACAACGGCACCCAGTTCTCTGAATGGCATTTAGAAGTGATACACACAAAGAGGAGAGTTTTTATGGATGTCAACTTCTTTATTATGACTGACTGAGTTGGGTTTTATGCCGCTTTTTGCAATATACTAGCATGGGGGACACCAGAAATGGGCTTCACACATTGTACCCATGTGGGGATTCAAACCCAGGTCTTCGGCGTGACGAGCCAACGCTTTAACCACTAGGCTACCCCACCACCCCTCTTTATTATGAGGAACAGAATGTTCCAGAGTATATCCTTACTCATTCACCTGATGAAGGAGTAAGGAGGAAGGAATATGGATATACTCCGAAATGTTGTGTTCCTCATAATAAAGAAGTTGACATCCATAAGAAAACTCTCCTCTATCAAAAGTTGTCAAATGTTGATCTATTTACAAGGAGATGTATTTGAATCAAAATTCTAATGTGAAAGTATCTAGTTCTGAAAGAAACCTTCCAACATACATCCATCCATGCACCTTTACACAAAGAGCTTTAATGACTCACCAAATGTCAGGCATACAGTAATGCTGGTAACGCTTTATGAATGGGGAGATCACTTCTACTAAAAGTATGTTCAGAACGCTGTGATCCATGCATAAATGTTTTATTACCCATGAGTGACTTGAAACATTAATTTCTTTTGGACTTTCTTTTGCAGTTTTTCCCCAAGTTACTTATCTGATATTTATCAAAAATCAATGCATATTTAGTTAACGATTATCAATCTCCGTAATCTATATTGATAGCTAGTTCTAACAAAATACTTAAGTAACATGACATGTTATTCACTAGAAAAATATCAAATACTTTCATCTGAAGATATACAAAATTCTCCATTAGACTAAAATGTCTTGCCTCAGTCTCGACTCATTCCATCTCTTGATGGAGACCATCCTTTGAACCAGACATGAGAATGGATACTTCAAAGAAGTTCAAGAACACACTGGACCGCCTCCGTGGTGTAGTGGTTACAGCGTCCTTCCGGAGAGCGGAAGGTCGCGGGTTCGATCCCAGACCGCGTCATACCAAAAGATGTTAAAATATGGTACTTGTTGGTCCCTGTCTGGCACTCGGCATTATTGGGTACAACAAGGACTGGTCGGCTCGGAGTCAGTATAATGTGTCTGAGTGGGGTATTCATGCTTCACTGTTGCATGGTATCTCAGTGGGCTAGCACTATAAAACCAGCTTAAGTCTGGGCTAGTACAAGCAGCCGCACATACACATACACACGCATGCACATCTTCATATGAGCGAAAGATTCTCAAGCATGACGTTAAACCCAGTTTCACCTCACCTCAAGAACACATGATTGACAGCTTGACTAAAATAGTATGGTCACATAATAATCACATAGCAATATGAGTGAGTGAGTTCAGTTTTACGCCGCACTCAGCAATATTCCAGCTATATGGCAGCGGTCTGTAAATAATCGAGTCTGGACCAGACAATCCAGTGATCAACAGCATGAACATCGATCTGCGCAATTGGGAACCGATGACACGTGTTAACCAAGTGAGCGAGCCTGACCACCCCATCCCGTTAGTGACCTCTTACGACAAGCATGGGTTACTGAAGATCAATATTCTAACCGGACCTTCATGGGCCATAGCAATATGAAGAAACGGGTGGTCTATTGCTTCTCCTGAATACCTACCACAGTTGACCTGCCACTGCATGACAAATTAACCATAGCAATATGAAAGAATCAGGGTGTCCTTTAACGTATTTTGATCAGTGTAAGCTCATGTGAAAGTTCACTATCAAGATATAGTGAGAAAGTGGACTGTTATAGCCCTAAATAAACTACAATCATACTTACTTTAACTCACTTCTTTTTGTTTAATGTAGGATTGGTTTGGTCTGTGTTAGGAGTCCAGTGAAAATTGTCATGATGTCGTCAGTCTGAATTTTGAGACTGTTTGACACATTTGTTCAATAAAGTTATGCTTTTGTTAAACAGTGTTTCGTGATTGGTAACTCAAGACTGTTAAAACGGCTTTCATACCCATCATGTTTTATGACAATAAATTGTGTCATGATCATCCCTTTTGTCATGATCTATCCTTGTGTCATGATCTATCCTTGTGTCATGATCTATCCTTGTGTCATGATCAATCCTTGTGTCATGATCAATGATTGTATCATGATCCATCCTTGTGTCATGATCAATGATTGTGTCATAATCATAACTTGTCATAATTATCGTTTGTGTCATATCATATCTTGTGTTATGATCATTGTTTATTTCGTTATACAGTATAAATAAAGTTCCCCATAACTGAGGTGATGCCTCAGTACTGGACAACCCTAACTTTATGTTTGTTCATAAATAAAGAAGGTATATTTCCAGGGTTACTCACCTCCACTGGCCTGTGTTGTTGTGTCTGCTTTCTTGGGACTAGTGGATTTTTCAACTCTGTGGACATTGCCTCCAGCGGTTCCGGTAGTTGCCCCAGAGGATCCCGAGTTGACCCCCCCTGGACTGGTACTGCCACCCCCAAGGACCATATTGCGGCCCCCAGGCCCAGTGTTGCTGTTCCCACCCTGGCCACGTTCCACGAGCTGGTCCTTTGGAAGGAGGGTAGGGAGGTCCTCCACAGAAGTCTGCTTTAGGGCCTGGAAAGAAACAAACGCACCACTTAAGCCAAAAAGAAATTTAATAAAAATCCAACGTACTAACTTACCACCAACATCCAGAAGAGGGTGTTGACTGCATTTTACGTACTAACAAAATATACAATAACAGTAATAGGCATATTTCAATAAGCTTGGGTTGAAAATCTGACAGTCCAGCATGGCCTATAAGCATAATATGGCCAAAAGATCTGTCAGCAGCATGTCATTGTGGTGGAATCACTTTCATACGTTCCAGTAATAACATATCGGACTATAGTCAGTCTTCTTCAAATATTTTATAGGCAAACACAATGAAAAAAACACATATTCAATTTGAACTCAAAGTCAGAAAAAATGTATTTTTGTGCTTAAGACTGTCTCAAAACAAGATTTCAATGTTTGATTATCTTAGATTAGATACCCAGAAGAACATAATCTGATATTTGCAGACATTTGGCCAAATATCACAAAGGTTCAGATATGCCTTTTGACAGTATTGAGGTACATCCAAATGGAATATGCATGGTGTTAATAACATTTTAGGTTTTAAGGTATAAGGTTTACATTTATACTGAATATGTGTTTCAAGGTATGGGTGGTGTTTGGATGGTTGTGATGTTTTGAGACTTTAAACAAATGTTTCGTATTCACAATCATAAATATTTAATCTATTTGATCCCAGACATCCCTATCTGACATCTGATTACAAAAAAACATTTGGTGATTGAGTCAAGAGAAGGGAGGTTACTCAGGTAGAGTCCCTGCCCTGTCAATATTGCCATCACCTCACGAAGGAGGTCTTACAACTCACAACTACAATACAGCTTGGCTGTGAGAGTGAAACAGCTGGAGTCTTCTGTCACTGAGGCATTACTGCTGTCAGATGCCACTCCAAACAATAATGGAATTCAATACCAGCTCTAAAGAGATTTTGTCTTTAAGTAGAGCCATGTGCTTCAGACTGCAAATCAAAGGCAACATATCGACTAACAGATTAGGTCAGATCATAAAGTGACATAGATCTTACTTTTCTAACAAACATGACAAATTCTAGCAATTTATGTAATTTTCAGCCATTCTGCTATAGCTTTGTATCTTTTTATAATTTTCTTTGATTTTGAAATGTTATCAGATGCAGCAATTCATCAGCTGGGCCAAATTAAGTACAGATATACATGATTAATTTTCTTTTGTGAAAACTTGAAGTGAAAGATGGATGTTGATTGTGTTATAATCCATGTGGCCGTTGATGTCACGAACAGGTGCTCTATCATAAGACTTTAACTCTTGATAGGCAATAAGCAGTGAGCAGCACTGATATACTAAGCATCATTTACCCAGCTTTTCATGTCTCAGGTAAATTACAGCCTTCAGCCCATTTAGTAAACTATCTTGTAATTACACTACAACATGAATAAAATCAAAACTAATTAATTGCCAACTGTTAAAAAAGGAAAGAAAATTGTTTTAATAAAAATCGATGATTCTGAATAATGGAACAACTTAAATTCTTTTTAATCTAAAAACAAATCATTTGGGGTAAAATGTTTGATTAAAGTATGAGTGTCAGCATATCACAGATCTATGTGGGAGTTAGTTTCTGGGCAGATCAATTTTTAGCCATTTTGGGAATCAAACAAGGACCTTTAGTGAGCACCTTATCCACTAGGTTATCCAATCTGCCTATGGAGGATTATAGACTGCAAAATGAGTGCGTTTTGCAAAATGAGTGAGTGAATGAAGTGTAATACAACCTTGTATAGTATTCCTGTTATATAATTACGTTGGTTTGATGCAAAAAAATATTGTGAGATGAAGCTTTTTCTGGCATTTACCATTTTTGTGAAAGCCAAAAGCATGGGTACAACGCTGACAAACCTACGATGGCAATTCTACGGTAGCAGTGATGACAGGTTTCTGGCATATTGGGGGAAAGGAACAAGACATGGCATGGCTGCATGACAGGGACATCCTTGGCTACCTGTGTAGCATATTCTGTCTGGATCAGTCTCTCCACCTCTCCTTTCATCTACCTAGGTCATATATCAATATCATTCGCTTCTTAATTTTATTTTTCCTTTAGCTAACAATAGTTGTAAAATCAATATATCTGTCACTTTAGTGATAGGCATTAAAATTATGTCATGTAGATAAAAGATAATTTTTAAGTGTTATTAAAATTTGTACTGAGTACAAAAATAAATATGAGTGATAGTTCATCAGGGCTCTGTCTCTCACTCCAAGCCATTCTATTTTTCTACCCCACCTGTGCTGACTACAATCACATTTGGTGTAGCCCGTGAACTGGATACAGTGAACATTACAGAAACTCAGCGGAGGACATGAATAGGTTGAGTGAAGGAATCGAACCCATGATCAGTGAATCCTTATACAGCTAGGGCAAGTAAATTTTGCACATGGTATTGATGTAGCTTCCACTGTGCCACTGATTTTTGTCAGTAAGGTAGAAGCTAGACTAATGCTTAGACTCTGAATATATATAATTTTGATAGTAACAAACAAACCCATTTAAATTGAAAAGGAGCCCTAGGGAGAGAGAGGAAATATAGACTTGCTGTATTTAGGGCTTTAGCACTGCAGAGAGAGCTTGGCAGTAGGGAATATAATGTGGTTCAGGGACTGTGAGACAGACTAGGTAGAAGCCTGCAGCAGATGTTCTCTTGGTTGCAACCATTTCAGAACAAGCAATAATCACAAGCCATCATGATCACATGATTATAAGTCACCAATCTAACTGTAACTGGGCACTGACCCAAACACTGAAACCCCCTAATGTGTCAACACAAGCAATGGCATCAGGGGTGGAAATAACTCATTGCCCGACGTCCGAGTCCAGTGTTTTTTCTGTTGGGCAAGCAAATTTGTATATTACACTGTACCGGTGTCCAGTTGACTTTCCAATGTTACTTATGTTGTTTATGTAAAAAATCAACAAGAAAACGGCCGGTATAGTGGAAAAATTCTCAGGGCAAGTGATTTTACATGTGCCACTGTACCGGAGTACACTAGCAATTTTAAAGTTATTTCCACCCCTGGGCATGAGTACTGAAAAACATACAGGTCAATGACCTACCGCTAGCTGTTATCCTATATATGATAACAGTTATATTACCTACTGTGGTTCCGTGTGTGTATCCCATCCCAGGGAGGGGTAGCCACTTTACTGACATGTCGGGTTATTAAACAGACTGAAGGGTTGCCACCACAGCGGGCATCTCACCTGCGGCTCCCAATACTAGCCATGTCATTTTTGGTTTTCTTACTGGTAATGACTTCATTGGATGTAATTACAGAAATACATCTTCATGAAGGTATGGGGGGTGGGGGGAGGTGTATGTGTTACCCAACTATTGATACCACCTGTACATGAAGATGTGTAGGAGTTACCCAACTATTGATACCACCTGTACATGAAGATGTGTAGGAGTTACCCAACTATTGATACCACCTGTACATGAAGGTGTGTAGGAGTTACACCACCACCTGTACATGAAGGTGTGTAGGAGTTACCCAACTATTGATACCACCTGTACATGAAGGTGTGTAGGAGTTACCCAACTATTGATACCACCTGTACATGAGGAGGTGTTGTACCACCTGTAGAAGGTGTGTAGGAGTTACCCAACTATTGATACCACCTGTACATGAAGGTGTGTAGGAGTTACCCAACTATTGATACCACCTGTACATGAAGGTGTGTAGGGTTTACCAACAATTGATACCACCTGTACATGAAGGTGTGTAGGAGTTACCAACCAATTGATACCACCTGTACATGAAGGTGTGTAGGAGTTACCCAACTATTGATACCACCTGTACATGAAGGTGTGTAGGAGTTACCCAACTATTGATACCACCTGTACATGAAGGTGTGTAGGAGTTACCAACCAATTGATACCACCTGTACATGAAGGTGTGTAGGAGTTACCCAACTATTGATACCACCTGTACATGAAGGTGTGTAGGAGTTACCCAACTATTGATACCACCTGTACATGAAGGTGTGTAGGAGTTACCCAACTATTGATACCACCTGTACATGAAGGTGTGTAGGGTTTACCCAACTATTGATACCACCTGTACATGAAGGTGTATAGGAGTTACCCAACTATTGATACCACCTGTACATGAAGGTGTGTAGGAGTTACCCAACTATTGATACCACCTGTACATGAAGGTGTGTAGGAGTTACCCAACTATTGATACCACCTGTACATGAAGGTGTGTAGGAGTTACCCAACTATTGATACCACCTGTACATGAAGGTGTGTAGGAGTTACCAACCAATTGATACCACCTGTACATGAAGGTGTGTAGGGTTTACCAACCAATTGATACAACCTGTACATGAAGGTGTGTAGGAGTTACCAACCAATTGATACCACCTGTACATGAAGGTGTGTAGGAGTTACCCAACTATTGATACAACCTGTACATGAAGGTGTGTAGGAGTTTACCAAACTATTGATACCACCTGTACATGAAGGTGTGTAGGAGTTACCAACCTATTGATACCACCTGTACATGAAGGTGTGTAGGAGTTACCCAACTATTGATACCACCTGTACATGAAGGTGTGTAGGAGTTACCCAACTATTGATACCACCTTACCAACCAATTGATACATGAAGGTGTGTAGGAGTTACCAAGTACATGATTGATACCAACCTGTACATGAAGGTGTGTAGGAGTTACCAACCATTGATACAACCTGTACATGAAGGTGTGTAGGAGTTACCAACCAATTGATACCACCTGTACATGAAGGTGTGTAGGAGTTACCAACCAATTGATACCACCTGTACATGAAGGTGTGTAGGAGTTACCCAACTATTGATACCACCTGTACATGAAGGTGTGTAGGAGTTACCAACCAATTGATACAACCTGTACATGAAGGTGTGTAGGAGTTACCAACCAATTGATACCACCTGTACATGAAGGTGTGTAGGAGTTACCAACCAATTGATACCACCTGT